CAGCCTCGACCAGATCTGAAACCAGCCTGGTTCTCACGCGTACACCGTTCCCGTGCGGCAAAAAATCGATGGAGTATGATATCAGCGAGAAGTTTAGAGATGATTTTGATTAAACTAATTCCTCTGTGATTTTCACAAGAGGACCCTTCTTGTAAATCGGTATGATCACCGATTCATACCATTCAGTTGGAACCTGTTTCTTTTTCCCACACTGAGCTCAGGAGTTTTGTTAACTCCAAAGCCAATGCTAGACTTCCATCCTAAAAAACGATGGGGACAGCCTGTCGGGGCCGGAGGCCTTATACCTTTTGACATAGCTTATTTCTCGGGTAACCTCTATCTCACATGAAGGACTGATGTCAACTGGCCGTAGTTGCACTGTTGAATTGGGTGTTGGCAGGTTTGTGCTGACGAGGGACAGCTGAACTGCGCCTTAAAATGTTCTGCTCATCGATCTAGACGGCGTTGCTGAATATGGATCAGTGTGCCGTCGGACTCCTTAATTATCTCACTTACGGCTGCTTCCCTTGGACCTGTACTCCTAATTAATCGGAAAAGATTGCGACTATTACCGATAGTCGCAGCCTTCTCCATCTCTCTACACTTTCCTACCCACCACTTCTCGCGGTCATTCCTCAGACTCTTGATGAGCTGGCGTTTAAGGGATTTGCGCGTTTTGTCGTAGTTTGAATCCGAAGGAATGGCTTTGCGAGCGTCCAGCAGGGCAGCCGAAGTCGGGGAGATCCATCATTTTTTATTCGATCGTGAGTCAGAATTTTCTGTTGTTTCAATTGACATTTGATCACTTCCTTGATTGTCGTCCAGTGCTCACTGAGTCCTCCGGCTGATGGTTGTGCTGAGAGACGATCTGATAGTTCCGCTTTGAAGGCCGATTTGCAACTGTCGGTGATACCGTATTGTGGGCATTCGTTTTCGGTGCCTTTTCTGCGGTTGTTTATCAGGCGTAGGGAGAATCTCGCTTGTAGTAGAGCATGGTCCGTGTCTACGAGTGTTGACCAGTAGGAGCGGTAGTCTTCAATGGATCCTCGCCAACGGTGGCTGATGGCAATGTGGTAGATTTGAGTCCAGTGCTGTGAAGCGGTTTGCGGTCTCCATGTAAGACGGTGGCGCTTTTTTGTGCGAGAAGTTCGTGCTTGACAGAAACAGTCCTTGGTCCGCACAAAGTTGGAGTAGGCATTCTCCATTGTCAGTCCTGTTGGCTGAGATTGCATGTAAACCTCCAAGTGGCCTCTCTGATTCGTTCAGGGATCCCAGTTGAGCATTGAAGTCTCCAGCGACCACCACGATGTCCGTCGACCGAGCACTTTGGAGCAGTTGAGAGAGGTCCTTGTAGAATTCATTCTTCACTTCTGGTGAACAGCAATCTGTCGGTGCATACGTGGATACGACGAATAAACATCGAGGTTTCGTTCTGTAGTTGTTGACTCGTACTGAACCATCCAGACGTACGGCGCAAAGTCGGCTGTTAACCGGGATCCAATCGAGAAGTTAAAGCTCGACCTTGACACTTAGCGCAATCCCAACACCAGCAACACCTCGAGCTTCGGATGCCGAATCGCCTGACACACGGAGAGTGAAGCGTGAGGATGAGGTTGGATCTGGCGAACGGAGGGAGTTCAATGAAGTAGGGTCTTGTATGCGTGTTTTGGAGACACAGCATACATATAAATTGAAGGTTTCAAGGGTTCTAACTAAGGCGGCTTGTAGATCAATCTGATAGAGTGTGCGGACATTAAATGCGGTTAAGTGAGAAGGAGATTTTGGTTTCAAAAATCTGATAGCCTCTGAGTGGTTGGCCTCATTAATTGAACACTGAATGATATGCGATGGGTATCGCAAACAGGAGGCACCTGGGAATATTCGGGATTGAGAAGAAGGACTAGACAGATGAAAATGATGGTTTTCTAAATGGGTACCTAAGACCTTAGGGCACGGCATACTTCGCGGTAGCCCACACCGACGAAGGGGTTTTTCTTTGGGAACGCTAACCGGAGCCCTTGACTCAAAAGTTTGACCCACAAGGTAGTGGGGCGTAAATCCAACGCGGGAGCGTGAATGAAGCATCCGTGCGGGAGCTTCTGGAGACCTGTCACGCAAGGCCTTTGAATTTCGATTAGTTGTTTTGTTCGCTGGTGCGTTGGTTGTCCGTCCGCTTTTCGGGATCGTCTCTCAGCTTCATGCACCCAATGAGACAAGCGGAACGTGGACTGGACAGCACCTTGTTGACTGGGGGCTGCCCAGCTTGGGCGGGTGGTAGCTGTCCAATGAAGTGCGAAGACTTCTCCCACCGTCGAGAGGAGGTCCCAGGTACCCGGCTCATGCATCCATCTAGCGGGGCTTCTAGACCGGTAAACTGCCCCCTGTGTTTATTTGCTGGAGTGACCTCTCCATGGGCGGGTGTGGATAGATGACAGAGGCCAGGAGGTGCCCATGCAGCTGGCCTTGTGAGACTGATCTTCCTCTGGCCTCTACCCGTTGACCTTTCAGGCATGATTGGATCTGCGGCTTGTATGGCTTGCAGGGTCATTGAGGCACGCAAGCCATCACATCACGTCAGTCTCGTGTTGCTGGGCATATTTCGGCAGCACGATGCAGACCACAAATTCGATCTGTTTATGCAGGTGCGTTTCTAACGTCGGATGACCGCTGCCTGCAGCGAGCCGTAGTTAAACCGTTATTCTCTCTCTCTCTGTCCGATATGTACTTTTCCAATCAGTATATTATGATGTGACTTTCAAATGTCTGTTTGTTGACAAACTGAAATGAGCACTATCAGTGCAGGGAATAGATGAAATAATTTTATGACAATCTTCTATTAAGTCAAGCTTATATTTCCGCGATAATACCGAGGGTTTTTATTCTATTTATATTTTGCGAAAATGTTTACTACTAGAATACTAGACTCCAATGTGACGCACTGTTTTGCAGGTCACCTATGTGGAACCGTATAAAGGTTCGATCGGTTCGGGACGTCCCCTCACTTCTTACGAGAAACATCACGATATCTCTCAGTTCATGTTTGAGACTCCGTTTCTCATGCAACCAGGTAGGAACAGTGCTTGCTTTTCTGTTTTACTGACATACACGTTCATATCATGCAATGATCAACTTTGCTCTTCTGAGAGGTGGCCTCAGTTGCTTTCGTTCGGTTGTCCATTTAAACGCGTCAGTAGAGGCGATATACGAAATACAGCTTAAATAATTTTACGAATCAGTTGAATGATGACACGGTCGTCACTATTCCCAACACAGCCATATAACTCAGCGCCTCTAACCATGGGTTCAACTGGTCACCTTATCCCAAATCGGAAGTCTAGCAAGACCGAGACCATCAAGTTCCCAGGTCAGCACTTTCATACCCTCATCACATGTTTAACCACGGTGGAGGAGTGGGTAGCTAATCTGTGTGAACGCTATTTGAATACATGTGAAAAGTTTGCACATAAGAATCTTATCGACTTCACACATCCCCTGCGTACAGACTACATACCTATTTTTCCCATTCGGCAATCGTTGTGTTCAGTCTGGAGTACATATGTATCGTAACTCTAAGGTATCCTCTGCAGCATGTGTTTCAGTTAACAAAGAACAGGTTTTCACTGACTTTGTTAAAAGTTTCAGGTTTTAACTTTTATTCTCATTCTCCAATATGTACACTTTTAACTGAAATGTAGGCTTTACGCCTACAGAAATTTTAATTACAATTATTATTCAGTAGCTAACATTCTACACCTAATACACTTTGTGGAACGCCGTCATTGACTACCCGGCTGCACCACCAAACTAGGTAACAGAACGCACAGATCACTTATGGCAAGACGTGTCGCCTGTAAGAGTTCACCCATCTTGATTATAATGGTGCATCCATTGTCCGGATTGGTTGCTGTTTATGGAGACGGGACTTCCGATTTATTCAGAAAGATAGTGGCTTTATTCACGTGTTGGTGGAATTTTCAGTAATATGCTTTTTAAAATAACGCATCTTCATTCAGGCGACCAAACCGCTCTCAGGATGATATTTATAGAAAAAGGATAGGTAATGACAATTATCAATAAAAGATGTCACCCTAATAAGCTTTTAGATGAACGATCATAGGGTGTGGCTGGGTTTAGTTCTGATTCAATATGCGATTAGATTTCTTCCTCCTCTAGAATCTAGAATTGCTCAGCCGTCATGATGATCACATATGTACTCCCGATGAACAAAACCTTAGTATATAGTGTTTAGAAAACTGTTAAGAATGGAACAGAGACAACTTTAAACTGCGCAAGAAAATTGAAATATTATTTGATCAAGGTTGTTATATAAAAGAGAAAGTCTCGGTCATAGGGGGATTTTTACATCCGTTTGATAATGAATGCGGTTTTCTTTCGCCTCATCTGATGTCGGCTGGTCTCCGTATTTCATCAGATACAGATCAGTCTAGTACCGTATGGTGAAACACCGATCTTGTAGCAATCAAAAGACTCAATAAGGTCAGAAGGTATGCATATATATATATATATATATATATGTATATATGTATATATGGTGCACCAAAATATTTTCTTTATGATCAAATGGTGTCTCATTATATTTATCGCCTATATATTAGTGCTTTAGGTATGGACAATATTTGATATCTTGTCTACTTCGATCTACGTAGTTTCCAGGCTGCATCAGTGTCAGTTAAACGTGCCTGACCTTGATTGCCAAGATGAAATGATCTCAGCACGAAAACCTCTAACTTTATCAAGTATCACAACGCAATATTTTCTAATAGGAATGACTCAATAATTATCCTAAATTATTTCCACAAACCCTTCCTATCTCGGTTATTTGTTGTGTGGTATTATTTTATGCAATATATAATCCATTATAGCAACTCTATTAAACAACCAAATGAAATTCTTTCACAACCCAAAGAAATTAAATAAAATGAGGTTTCATGATAATAATCTTTTTTTGATATCTAACTCAATGAATTCGAGACATACCACTTCAATCAAAGTCAACCTTGAAATCAAGATCATTTTTGTGCACAGCTTTGAATGTTCATATTGTTGTCACCATAATGAAGCAAGCAGCACTTGAAACCAAAAGTTCCCGTTATCCCAGTGAAGAGGACAGATACAGAATTGTACGAGCGCACAAGCTGGGATTTTCCGTTTCAAATCTTGCCCAATGCTTTGACGTTAACAAAAGCACAATTTACAGGATAGTCCATGGGAAAACAACAACCAGAACCGGTTGTGGACGCCGTAAACTGAGTACATCCAAACAGGAGGACGACCTGATCCATATTACTCTGAAAAAACATAGCAGAAAATTGTTGTCGTCTATTCAACGAGATCTTCCTAGCCATGCATACTCCCTTCTGCAAACAAGAATGAAAACATTTAAAATGCGTCAGGTTTCAGCTGACGTCAAGCCAGCATTAAACGCGTAGCAAAGGCAGGCTCGTATTGATTTTGCCCGAGAATTCAAATCTCGATGTGCGTTATTTTGGAGATCGGTTTACTTCGCCGAAGAGTGTATGGTGTGGGACTGGCCTTGGAAGGCTCCCAAAAAAGTCATTTGTAGTGAGAATTTCTCAAAAGGATTTATTCCACCAAAGGAAAGAGTTTCTCACCCGTCGAGATTATTCATCTGGGCAGGGATAAAACATGGTCAGCCTTGTCGGTGGACATCAGTCAAAGGCACCATGAATAATGGGAAGTTCGTATCAGTGATGACGAAAGTTTTTCCAGAATTTCATGAGAAAAATCGTCTGGAAAAGTTATGGTTTTCCAGGATAACGCTCCGTGTCATGTTTCAAGAGAGATTGGTAAATTTATTTAGCTAAGGATTCTGTTTCACATATTATTATTTGCTTTTAGACTTCAGAAAAGATGCGTGACTCTAAGGTCCAGTTCATGGGACTTCCCCCTAATAGCCCGGATCTCAACGTGATTGAAAATCTGTTTTCTGTTTTGATGCGAGATGTCAATGTGCTACCTGTACATTGGACATTGGAGACAATGGTGCGATACGTAATGAAGCACAAAATAGAAAATGACTTCATAACAAAGTTGGTGGATTCGATGCCGAAGAGACTCGAAAAAGTCCTAAAGAACAAAGATAGACCAATCGACTATTAGCGTACACAAACCTTACATCTTACTTATTATCAATGCTAATTAATGTTAATAAAAACTGTTCCATTCTCTTTAGTTACCTCTTAACTGATCATGGTCTAGGTCAACCACTATTGACGAAATTGGAGTATCCGCTACATCCTGAACCATTCCATCTGCTGATCATAAACGAATGAGAAAAATCCCGTCTATGAAGACTCACCAAGGCTTGTTTTTTATTATTTAGAACAAAAGTTTCAGTAAAAATGCTGTTGCCTATACAAACCGACAAGTGCTTGACCGGGACCCGTTGCTTCCCATATATATATATATATATATATATATATATATATCGCATCACAAGAATAACGACGTTTTTTACTGTACACGTTTACCAGAAGACGTTTATCAGCATCCAATACACGCAATTTTTCATTACCTACTTGATGTCAATTAACGTCCTCATTGTGGAAATTCCAGGTCTCGTAGCCGTAAATTAAAACACTGTGAACCCTGATGTTATGACTGCACATCAAGTGTTGCAGATATGCTAAATTTGCTTTGAATTTCTTTCCCGGTGATGTAATAACCTCACCAAAGTTCCTGTGTCCATTTAACCTCGACTAACTCCCACTGATCACCACGGTTTTTAAGTGCAAGCATAGGCTGCTGCCAATATTATACGAATATTTCGTATTTGGATGGTACAAAGGACACCGGAAGTACCATCTACCTGTGTTATGTTGCTCCTTGGTCGTTCAATCCGACTGTAATCCATAGATTGCGTTTCCCCATCCTGTCGTTCTTCTATCTGTGTGTTTGTGAACGCGTATGCGTTCTTGCCTTGATTGAGGAACTGGTCATTACGTATCGTCGCGATCTGTTCAGACAATAATGTGTTGATGAGATCAACCGACCTGAAATCGAAAGACACCGTTCTCCTCGAAATAGGTTTATGTGATACGGCTGAAACTATCGATCCTATTATGTCCTATTACATAAGGCAATTCACATCCCTCCCAAAATAATCTCTTTCCTTTTCGGCTACAATCCTCTCCCTCCTCTTCTTCTCCAGGCATGACGACCACGTCAAGTCTATCCGCTGCAGGTCCCAAACACACAGACGATTTAACACAACAGTGGAAACGACGCACGATACTCACCACAGTCGGAACGTTTCCGCATTTGCGTCGACGCCTGGAAGTGGCACAGGTGACCGAGACTGATTTGTGCCCCATCGATGGAGCTATAGATGCAATCGAGTGTAAAAATCAAGAATTGATGACTCATGTTAGTGCCATTCCGATCAGCACTGCTACAATTACCGGTAGGTTTGTCCGGTAGTATTTGACTGTGTGTGTACTGTTTGCAGATTTGTTGTCC